GTGCAAAACTTCATCAAGCACAAAACCACAAAGCAGACACAAACCCTGTTACCAGAACTGGGAGAGGGGTGTGGGCAGCCCGGAGCCAGGGAGCAGCCCTCCTCCCCTGTCCTCCCCTCTCCCAGCGCCCGGCCCTCAGGAGGCGTCTTGTTTCGCTAGGAAGTGGTGTCGTGCTCGGGCGGTGTCACCTCAGACGGCGCGGCGTGTTCCCTGAGGGGTGGAGCATCTTCGTATATTTGGCTTCAGATTGAGATGTTGGCTCCACTTGGTTTTTACCCAGTTTTCCAATTCCTAGCAACTGTGCGTGTGCTTAGCACAAGAGAAAGCTGAGAACGGGTGTCTGGCCTCCTTCTGGAAACTTGTTTGGCACATCAGGACTTTTTTTTAAAACTTCAAAATATTTTAAAAATACTTTAAACTTTTGTAAAAAAAAAAAAAAAAGCAACCGAGAGACTCTTCTGGGAGAAACATTTGTATTTGAATAAGATCCTTGGTGTGTAATTCAGTCTTGCAGTGTACAGGCCGTTGTGTGTGAATGTTTTATGATATGATCCCTGTATTTGCAGGGTTTTTCTTCTCTTTTGCTCTTTAGATAAATATGTGTATCGATATTTTAAATTCATCTTTGCTTTTTTTTTAGAGGAGTTTGTAATCACCTTATAACATGAAAATAAACGTTTCCTTTTTAAAATCCAACACGTGGTTCTGTTTTGATGAGGCTGTTTTTCCTCGCGGTTGGCAAGCGCTGTCGATTTTACAGAGAGCTTTCAGTGCCCCCCAGGATGCTCCTCGAACGTGGGTATTATTACCCAGGTTGGAGACACTGAGGCAGAGGCTCACAGGGGGACATGGTTTGCTCCAGGGCACACAGCAAGTCCGGGAGAGAGTCGGGCGTGGCACCCCGTCCTCAGACTCCTGGGTCTGCTCCCGCTGGTTCTACCGATTCTCCTGATTGAAGGCCAGCCACCTGCTGCGAGCCCCGCACCAGTGGCCTGAGCCTCAGTTTCCCCATCTGGAATAAGCCACCACCCCCTTCAAGGCTGCGGGGCTGATCAGAGGTGATGCTGATAATGCACCAGGTGCAGTCGCTAACACCGGATCGGGGCTCTCTGGTCACCAAGTCCAATAGTGGGGCAGGCTGCTGGGAGACCGGGTGAGTGGCCAACCGTGGCGGGGTGCAAATAGGGATGATGCCCCCCACACTGGGACCTCAGAAAGAGGACACTCAGGACCCCAGAATGTCAGTGGTTGACACGGGCGTCCTCAGCCTTGGGAATTGTGAGCCCAACCCACTGTGACAGGTGGGGAAACTGAGGCCAGGAGAGGGGATTGGCCTCACTGGGGTCACAGAGCCGGTCAGTGTTTAGGGCAGCCTTCCTACCCACTGGCCCCCACCACCCTTTGTGAGTGGGCAAGGTCAGGGGAGCCTGCTGGGTCCTTCCCCAACTTCCCAGACCAAAAAATCTTTCTCGGTAACTCATCATTTATAGACAACGTTAGAATAAAATCCCCTCTCTTTTTCTGGCTGGCTGACTTTCTGATGGCCTGTGTCCATCTGCCCCCCCGCCGTTGTGTTGGCCGTGTGGCTTGTGTTCAAATCCTGGCTCCCTCCCTTACTACCTGTGTGACCTTGGGCAAGTTACTTAACCTCTCTGTGCCTCCTTTCTTCATCTGTAATGTTAGATGACAATATAGCCACCTCCAAAGGCTGTTGGGCGGATCCTGGGAGTTCTCACAAAGCAGACAGCGCCTGGTGCACAGCCAGGCTGCAGGACCAGCGCTGCCATCTTTGCTTTGCTGGGTTTCGCCCATACCTCCCTCCTGGTTTTGGAAGAGCCCCCGAGCCTATCACCCTCCCAGCACTAGGAAGGGCAGCAGTGCCCTCGGCACACCTCTGGGCCCCGGCTTCCCTGGCCCAGCCACAGAAATGCCCCAGTGTGGTCCAGCCCCTCTTGCACTCCTGAGACAGGGTGCTCACTGCCTCCTGCGGAACCGATGGGAAGAAGCTCTTCCTCTGCCCACACAGAGCTGTACTTCCCCCGGTGGGGCCCAGCCCTGCCCTCGGGCTCTTCCTGCCCTGGATGCCCTGTAGAGACTTGGGGGCATCGCCGGGCCCTGACCCAGGCTAAAAGGGCTCCACACAGCAGACCCACCACTCAGCTGCCTCAGTGGCTTCCCCCTGCATATAGAATAAAATCCATGGTCCCTACTCACACTCGTACACTTGGACCCTGTGACCTCCAACCTGGTCTCCCGCCCCACTCTCCTTCTGGGCCTCCTTTCTCTTCCTTGAACTCACCAAGCTCACTCCCCCTCAAGGTTTTGCACTTGCTGTGCCCTCTGCCTGGGATGCTCTCCCTCCAGGTTCTCACAGGGCTGGCTCCTGTCCTTCAGATCTCAGCACAAATGTCACCTCTTCAGAGAAGCCCTTCCTGACTCCCTGAGCTAGAGCTCTTCCCAGTCACTGTGTCCTCGTTTCTCTGTTTCCTTCGTCGCATTCAACCTCCTGAAATCATTCTTTATGATGTGCTCCTTTGTGCAGTCTGTCTTCTACTAGGATATAAGCCCCGTGCAGACAAGACCTCATCTGTCTGGTTCATGTTGTTTTCTCAGGGGCTAGAATGATGCATAGTACATAGCAGATGTTGAATGGATGGATTAATTAATGAACTAATCAAAACCAGGTGAGATAGCATAAGATCCAAACAAGCTGACTCCTGCCAGCCTATGATTCAAAAAAAGCAGACACTCCAAGTGCATTTAAGTAATTTTATTAAAAAAACACAAATCATCCTAATAGCACCCCACCCACCACTCCCAAGTCACCATAACCCTGGTGGCAGAGATTTACATGTAGGCCCCAAACAGACCCCAAACAGCCTTGCAGTGCAGCCCCTCGGCATGTTGTGCTTCCCGAGAGCCCTAAGAAAACCCCATGTAGAAAAATACTTCACAAGGAATATGTTCTGATCTCAGCCGGAGAAAAATACAGCTTTCAGGGGTGCAGGGGGCACGTCGCAGGGGCTGTACCCGAAATGCATAGGCAGGCAGGAGCTCACCAGGAATGGGTGTCAGGAAGCATCAGGTGTAGGGCGAACCACCCCCATGAGAAGCTAGGAGAAATATTGCATATGAGCAGGCCGGCGCGGGGAGCCCACCGCCGGGCCTGGTTGCATATGTCTGGAGGAATGGGGAGGCCTCAGCTGAGGAGGGAGGGGGCGGCAGTCAGGGTCGGGACACAGCTTCCCTCACCTGCAGTCGGATGCAGCTTTCCCAAGCCAAGAGGCCCCGTCACTTGACAGAGGCCCACAGTCTGGGCCACTTGCCTAAAGTCACACAGCTGAGGCCGCCAGTGGCCGTGTCTCTGCTGTGCCGCCCCCAACCCCTAAGCTGAGGACTCTTGGCTTTTGCTTGGTGTCCCTGTGATGGGTGGGCAGTGCCCTTTCACCCTGGGTGGATGTTTACACAGGAATTCAAGGTAGCAGAGGCACTGGGCAGTCCAGCCGTGGCACGAAGGGCTCTCCAGGGAGGGTGCGGAGGGGCAGGGCATGGGGAAAGGGAGGGTAGAGGGAGGGGAGGCAGGCTCTCCGGGAGAGTGTGGGCAGGGTGCCGAGTGGGCCTCAGTGGGCAGAGATGGTCTGGCTGTGAAAAGGAGATCAGTACCTGCTCAGAGACTGATTGACCCCTTGATTGTCCAGAGGGGGTCAGACTTGGAGGGGGTCACAGAGCCACCAAGCAGTGACCCAGGGCAAAAAACACAGACCTCTTGACCCCCCCGTCCAGTCCCTTGAGTGGAGGAGTGTTTTTTGGGCCTCCAGGGGACGCAGGGGTGGAAGAGGATGCAGGTGGGAGTGGTTGCCCCCCGTTTTCCTGAGACCCCGTTAAGAGCTGGGCAGGGACAATGTAAATCCCCAGACCTGGGTGAATCCCGCCTGCCCCCCTCCATCACAGGGGCCGCAGCCCAGACCACCACGTGAGACCCCGTGCCCGTCTCAAAAGTAAAGGGGTTTCTGGTTTTCAGGAAATGAGGAAAACAATTTTAAGGAATGCTGTTGCTTCCAGATTTCAAGTGGGATTAAACTTCTTTGAATGACCACTTTGGACATTGCTGCCATTCGGCGTGAGAGAGAACAGCCCATCTTTCTAGGCTATCTCTCTCTCTCTCCATCTCTGGGCTTCTCTCTCCCTCCTTCTCCTCCTCCACCAATTCAGACACTGGAGAGGAGCTGTATCAGCCCACAGATCATATTTCCGTGGTTTCCCATCTTCACTGAAATGGCAGGTGAACGAAACGTCTCGGGTCTTTTGTCCCCAAATGACTCCTCCCCACTGAGGGGCCTGGGCTGAGAGGGGTGTATGCGGACGGGCCTGCGGCCACGCGTCCTACAAAAGCAGCAGGAGGCACTGAGCCAGAGGCCTGACGCTGGGCTTGCCTGACAGGCCCAGAACTGCCGTCTCAGAACAGACACAGGCATGAAAAAATCACTGACTTTCATAACCAACGGGCCAGCCCTTCCTGGGAGTCTGGACGCCCACGCTCACAATCTCCTAAGTGGGGAAGCTCGGGATCCGAGAATCTCGGAACCAGCAAGTCCCAGACACGAGAACTCTGGAGAAGGGAAGGAGGTAGGCTCCTACCCCAAGCGACATCCCTCCTGGCAGTCGGCTCTCTAGATGAAGTGGCCCCCAGCCTCGCCCTAAATGCTCCCCCTGTCAGGAAACTAACCACCTGTGCCAGTATGGAAGCATCACCACAATGTCTTCCACCTTAGTCTGTGACTGCACTGGGGCTACACAGCTCCCACTTGCTCACCTCCTGTGACAGGGAGCTCACCCCTCCCTGGCAGCTCATGACAGCTCGAAAACTGTGCTGGGAGAAAGCATTCCCTCACTGAGCCAGACATTCTCCACACCGGACACCCTTCTAAGGAGACCCTGCAGGGACCTGGGCCCCCACCCAGGACCCTTTTCTCCTAGTTGAGCAGACTGTCTCAACCCCTATTGGGCTGGGCACCTCTGGGTATCTTGGAGACCCAACATGGAGAAAGACCTAGATGTCACTCCAACTGGGGCAGGGACCTGACTCCCTGGCACCGCAGTTACCACAGAACCAAAGAACAGAGACAAAGTCCTGTCCGCAGCTCAGAGCCTGCCAGACCAACAGATGGACAAGGGGGTGGCACTTCTCCAGCCCAGCTACAGGTCTGGGATCCAGATCTGCCTGGGTGGCCCCTTGGGTGTCCGGATCATGCACTGACTTCAGAGCATCCGGGGGCTACTGGGGCCTGGCGCTCGCGGGGCCCGGCTGCTCTGGGCCAGCGGATTACGGCTGATGACCAGCTCCAGGACGTCACCCGCCTCAGCCAGCAGCGGCACCGCCAGGCAGCAGTCGAAGTCCCGTGTGCGAACCTGGTTGACCTGCGTGGTGCAGAGCCAAGGGGACAGACCCGCGTCAGCTCAGCCTGGGCTGAAGGGGGTGGGAATTGTGGGATTTCCTAAAATGCGGGCCCTGTTCCAGTCCAGACCCAGGGAAAATCTGGAACCCTGACGCGGAGGCAGCCATTCTTCCTTTAACTCTTCCAATCCTGATTAGGTTTTATCAAGAGAAAGTCCTAGGGGAGTGCTAGGGCATCTTGCAGCCCTCTCTACCACCTGTTCTCGCCCTTGTTCACACGAAAGGGTACACACACACACAGCCTCCTGCCTACAATTCTGTGACATTGTGTTGTTTCTGTTTTATTTGTATTTTACATCGACCTTCTATTTCAAGCAAGGGGTGCTGGGTTTTCATTCCTAACTGAAATGAAATTTTCCTTTTTAAAATAAATTTAAGTTGAAAAAACTCCATCAATTTGGAGAAAACATATATTCAGTAAATTGAGCATAAATATGGTGGAAATCACACCGAGGGAACAAAAGTAGCTGGGACGTGGGAAGGGTGGCCCAGGGTGTCTGTGCTGGGATGCCCCACAGCTTTCCATCTGCTCACCCACATTTCCCAGGCTCCCCTGCAGTTAGTGAGGTCACGTGACTAGTTCTGGCCAATAAGCTATGAAGGAGAGTGACAGGTGTTGCTTCTGAGTGAAGGCAGAAAAAAACCCATGTGCAATTTTTCAGTCTGGTTTCCTCTGCCGTGGAGTCTGAGGCGATTACAAAAGGGTGGAGCCTCCATCAGCCCAGGCGGAGCGAGGCCCATGCGGCCCACTATGACCATGTCGTGGATGTGATAAGTGTTTATGTGTGTTACTGCAACATAACTCAGCCTAACCCGACTAATACCTTCCCTTTTCACAGGGGAGGAAGCTGGGGCTCAGAGAGGGCTGGAGACCTGCCCGAAGCCACTCAGCCAGGGTAGAAGTGGTGGCTCTTCCCCCACGCTGAAGCTAGGACAGGCCACTCCATCCATGCTGCCCCCACCCCAGGATTACCTGCAGGACTCTGTCGAAGGGCCGGAGGCCCCCACGTTGGGCTGGTCCATCAGGGCGCACAGTGTGGACATAGACGCCCTTCTCCAGGAGGCCGTCTGACACGCTGAAACCAAAGTCATTCTGCTTGGGGTCCTTGTGCAGGGTCACCTGCAAGCAGGAGGAGGAGATCCCTGGAGCTCTGAGCTTTGCCCTCAGCCTCCCACAGTAGCCGGAATCCCGTGGTCTGGCATCCGATGCCATGGCCCAGCTGTCCTGCCCCGAGCCCCCTCCACCCAGGAGACCCCCCAGTTCACAGCACTCGGTCCCACGGAGGCCCTCGGGAAGGGGGCTCCTTTTCAGTCCTCTGGCTTCCATCCAGGAGCAAGTCCCGGTGTGTTTTCACTGCCTTCTAACACCTGCTCATCTCCCAATTTACCAAAGAGCTGGCTTTAGGCTCAGAGGCTTCTGAGGGCTATTGGGCAAGTGGATTTGTTTTCTCCTCTGTGTTTTATTTTTCTATATAATAACCTATAGATGGCAAAAATGCTGGTTTCTCATTTAAGGTACTGATATATATACATACATATAATATACATAAGACTTTATATTTCATATATATTATATACACACACACACATACACACACACAATAACTTCAGAGGGGAAAAAGTGAGTCTGCTTAAAGAAAAATATTAATAATAGCCCGGTGTATATCACAGGTGTGTTTATGTGTGTGTGTGTGCACGTGTGTGTATCACTCGAATGACAGGAGTTTTGGAAAATTCAACCTAGTACAAAATCCCTGACTTATGGTGGAGGAGGATGAAGCCCTGAGGGGTGGGGCCCCTCTGGAGCCCACAGCGAGTGGTCCTTGCACCAAGATGTGCGTCCAGCCTCCTGCGCCCAGCCCTGGCACCCACCTTGTGCATCTCCAAGGGTGTCGGCAGCAGCAGCTCCTGCATCGCTTCGGGGGAAGTTCGTACCTCCCGGCCCCTCTGCCAGGGCCGGCGGCCAGGCCTGCCCTGAAGGGCCACGCTCTGCACGGTGCCCGTCATGATGGATGCCTGCAGGGACAGAGCTCTTCACTCAGACGCTCTCTCGCTGTTTGCTGTCAGCATCTATGGACACCTACTAAGTGCAAGCCTTCAAGGCCACAGTGGTGAACAGAATAGACGAGGTCCCTGCCCTCCTGGGGCTCCCAGCCTGATGGTGGGCGAGGGCGAGGAGGAACTGATCAATCGCACTAGCAATCAGAATAATAATCATTGGCCCTGAATTACTAGCACTTACTCTGCGCTGGGCTCAGTTCTAAACCCTTTACACATAGAACTCCTTTCATTCTCTACAGTGTTATGAGACAGGCAAATGCCATTATTTTCTTCCATTTTACAGATGAGGAAACTGAGGCTTAGAGAGATTTAAGATTTGAACTCCAAGTCTAGCTCCAAAGTAGAGGGTCTTAACCACTCTGCTACCTTGCTCATCGCAAAAATAAATAAGATAAAATCACACACAGCAGTGAATGTCACAGAGGCCAGATGCTCAGAAGGAGAGGGCCTAGGACAGTGGATCTGGTCTAGTGTGAGGGGTCAGGGAAGCTTCCTGAGCTGAGAACTGAAAGATGAGCAAGAAATGTGGAGGGAAGAGTCCCCAGCAGGCAGAGGGAAAGGCATGTGCAAAGCCCCTGTGGTGGGGGGACCTGGAAGAAGGCCCTGTGGCTGGAGAGGGTGCACAGGGTGAGGCTGGGGGGGCAAGGGTGCCATCCTGCTGCACCCTGTGGACTACACTAAGAAATGTTCATTTATCCCAAGAGCAGCAGGGAGACTGAAGAATTTAAGCAGAGGTGGGGGGGGCATGATCAGATTGGTGGATTTAGGAGCATCTTCCAGTTGCTGGGTGGAGACTGGACTGCAGAGGTGGGCATGGAAGCCGGGAGGGGACCTGTTGGGGACCATGTGGTTGTCCAAGTGAAAGACAACTGTGATCTGGACAGGGAGGTGACAGTAGGGAAGGACAGAAGGAGCAGAGTTAGGACAAGTCTCGGAGATGAATCGAAGGCGTGCTGAGAGAGGGGTGACAGTCATAAATGCTGTGATCTAAGCTGAGAGCAGCAAAGGTGTGGCCCTGAGGGAAATTTATTCACGTTCAGACTGAGAAATCCACAGATGAGGGTGCAGGGTGCTGGGGTTAGTGGGAGGGAGGATGTACTTCTTACATAGGATATTACACAATTTCTTAGGCACAGAGGAATCTCCCCAGCCGAGAAACTGCTCTCTTCCTGCCCATCACAGTATCTGAGTTTCCACTATTCGTGCAAGTTTCTATCTGACAATGGAGTAGGGAGAGTTTTGGTTTTTTAGAGGTCCCCAAAGGGAAGGCAGATTATGATAACAATTTTCTCAGGGCTAAACTGTTGGATTGGGGTGGGGAGGGAACGGTGGAGAGGATATTGAACAAGGGGCATGGAGGCACCTGTCTCAGCTCACACAACTCATCCTCACCTGCCTGGAGAGCCGGGCTCCAAAAGGAAAGACCAGAGACTCAGAATCTTGGGATAATAGAATCATTAAAAAATAGAATCAGAGGGTCGAGGTGTCATAGGCTCTTGGACCCCTAGAAATGTAGAATTGTAGGACTTCCAGTTAAGATGCAGACTGAGCTGATACAGAAAGCTCACATCTCCCTCCAAATTGATGGTAGATTACATTTTAAAAAATAAACACCTTCAAAGCAAGAAAGAAAAATTTGGAAACAGGCATGAGCAGGAGTCGAACCATTTGGCCTATGGAACCAGACATATATGTTACGAGCTGGGGCACCTGTTCAGGGAAAAGAGAGTGTTGTCTGAAAGCAGGAAGCCTAGGGAGTGCCATCCACCACTGAATGGGGACGTCCAGCACAGGGGTTCAGAAGGGAGCCACCAGGACGGGAGTGAGCTGGGGAAACTACCTGTCAGCAACCGGGAACCTTCGTGTGAGCTCTGCATGAGTGTGAGGCCAGAATCTGCCGTCCACAAACAGTGCAGCAGAAACACTGAGCTGAGAAATTAATATGAAAAGCTGGTGTGGAGCTGGTGCAGTTCAAAAGCCCCAGTAAGGACATGTCAGGAACAACCTCAGAGATGCTTCAACAACAGAGAGCACACGTGGGACGCCCACAGGAGTGAGCCCGCTGAAAGTGAGCACAACGATGAAATAAAAAGTCCGCCTGCCCACAGACCTAACGATAGATGAATTCACACCTAAGGAACTAGAAAAAAAATAGAGAAATCATAAGAAACTTTATAATAAGTCTGTTTAAAATGTGCAGAAAAATAAGAAAACGAAAAGCAAACATTAAGAAAAAAGATCATGAAGATTTGAAAAATGAAGAGAAATTATAGAAATGAAAGATGTAGAAGTTGAAATCAATATTTAGGAAATAGGTTAAACAGTAGACTAAATACAGCTAAGGAGGAATTAGTGAACCAGAAGACAGATTAAGGAAAGCATCTAGAACACCATGTAGAGAAAACGTTGAAGAAAAGTTAAGTGACATGGAAGACAGAATGCCTGGAGGATAGGTGTGCAATGCACACCTAACAGAAGTGCCAGAAGGAGATGATAAAGGAGAGGCAATATTTAAAAGATAATGACTAGGAGTTCTCCAGCACAGAAGGAAACAAATGAGTGCTCAGACTGAAAAATCAGACTGAGTCTCTAGTAAGACAAATAAAAACAAACTTACACTGAGACATATCATAGCAAAAGAACCAGCCATCATAGATAAAGAGAAATCCTCAAAGCTGCAGAAAAGAAATGCATGTTACTTTCAAAGGAACAACAATGTACCTAAGAGCTGCAACAACAGTTGCCAGAAGACGACTGAATAATATCTTCAAAGCTCCGAGGAAAACTTTTTTTCCCTAACATTTACAATTTTATTAACTTAAAAATGGTATGTAACTGCTCATTTCAGTCTTCTTTAGTTGTTGAATTACTAATTGCTAGTACAGTGCACAAAGCAAGCACTAAATAAATATTAGAAGAATGAATGAAATGGCTTGGAATCCCATAAATCTGTTACATATGGTAACTATAATTTTTCAAGTGTTTTGTATGTGCCGGACAACTTTAATTTCATACCCAACTAAACTATCATTCAAGAGTTGGGGTGAAATAAAGACATTTTTAGGACACAAAACCTAAAAGAGTTTACCACCTAAAGACCCTTATTAAAAGAACATCTTAAAGGATGAGTTCAGAAGGAAAAAAGTGGAATGCAAGAAGCAATGGTAAGCAAAGAAATTGGTCAAACATGCTGATAAAACTAAGTATTGACTAAAATCTCACATTCATTTTGAGCAGTTTATAAACAAGTTGGGAGATGAGAAGAGAGAGCTTGGATGAAGTAGAAGCATTCTAAAGTGCCTGTCTCATTCAGGAAGCCAAAAGTATTGATTAGACTTAGTTAGAAAAATAAAGTTAAGATGTTGAAAATTTAAGGTAAGGTCAACTGGCCTGGTCTTTTCAAAAAGTCAGTGCTGTGGTCTATCCATACAATGGAATATTATTCAGCCATAAAAAGGATGAAGGAATATTATTCAGCCATTGCCAGGGGAGGGAGGAAAGAGGAATTGGGTAATACAGGGTTTCTTTTTGGGATGTCAGAAATGTTCTGGTGATGGATGCACAACATTTATGAATATAATAAAAGCCCCTGAATTGTCAGTGGTTATCTTTAATTCATTTTACTTTTAATATTCAATTTACATGTTAAAATGGTAAATTTTATGTTATATGAATTTTATCTTGATAAACAAAAATTTTAAGTCAGCATCATTAAAAAGGCATGGACTAAAATTAAGAGTGACTTAAGAGGCATGACAACCAGGTACCAACGATGGATTAGACACTGGTTTGGATAGACCAGGTGTAACTGGAAGTTTGGGGTCAACTGTGAAAAATCTGAATATGGTCTTGGTATTAGAAGAGATTAAAATTTTTAAAAGATAGTTCCATATATGGAAAAATGGAGTAACTCACTAAAAAAGCAACTTACAAAAAAGCATGTACATCATGATTTCATTATCTTAAAAATACACATATACTCATTTAAGCAGTAACAGTGGTGATCTATGGGTAGTGGGAAGGTTGTGTCTTATGTTCTATTTTTGCTTATTTTATTTTTGATTTTACTTTGCTTATCTAATTTTACACCATACACATGTATGACTTCTGTAATAATAAAAAAGTTTTAAATGTAAAAATGGAATATTACAAGTAAAACAAATGACAAGGATAATCACTAAAAGAATTAAAATTATAAAAATCTCCAAAATGATGGTGGAGAGAATGGACAGGAATGAAAAATTTATAAATACAAAAGAAAGGATATAAGATTAGAAGAAGTATAGAGAAAGCAGGATAAATAGAAAGTATAAGTTACATGCTAGAATTAAGCTTAATTATATTAGTAATCACAATAAATATAAATGGACTAAGCTTGCCTTAAAAAAGAGAGACTCTTAGATCGGAGGGGAAATCAGCTATATACAGTACACAACAGATACACTTAAAATGATACAGTAAGTTTGAAAATAAATAAATTGGAAAAAGACAGGAAATATTACTAAAATAAAGCTGATGGAACAATATTATTATGGTGAAAATGGAATTTAAGGTGGAAAGCAGCCAGCCCTGGTGGCCTGGTGGTTAAGATTTGGCGTTCTCACTGCCACAGCCCAGGTTCATTTCCTGGTCGGGGAACCACACCACCCATGTTTTGGTTGTCATACTGTGGCAGCTGTGTGTTGCTGTGTTGCTGAAAGCTATGCCACCAGTATTTCAAATACCCAGGGTCACCCAGGGTGGACAGGTTTCAGCAGAGCTTCCAGACTAAGACAGCTAGGAAGAAGGATCTGGCCACCCACTTCCAAAAAAATTGGCCATGAAAACCCTATGACTAACAGCGGAGCATTGTCTGATATAGCGCAGGAAGGTGAGAGGATGGTGCAAAAAGACTGGGCAGGGTTCACTCTGCTGTACAGAGGGTCACTAGGAGTTGGAATAAACTCAATACCACTAACAACAACAAGGCGGGAAACACATAAGGAGAGAGATACTGATTAATAATAAAAAGAAAAATTCACCAAAAAGTTATAGCGATCACAGGGCTGGTCTGGTGGTGCAGTGGTTAAGTTTGTGCACTCTGCTTCAGCAGCCCAGGGTTCCCAGGTTAAGATACCGGGCGCAGACCTATGTACCGCTTATCAAGCCATGCTTGGGCAGCGTCCCATATAAAGTAGAGGAAAATGGGCACGGATGTTGGCCCAAGGCCCATCTTCCTCAGCAAAAAGAGGAGGATTGGCAACAGATGTTAGCTCAGGGCTAATCTTCTTCACCAAAGGAAAAAAAAAGTTATATCAATCATGAATTTATACGAAACTATCAATATAACCTCAAAGGTTAGAAAACAAAAATTGACAGAATATCTAGAATTTTGCCAAATCTCCAATCATGATGGGAATTTTATCATACTGCTAACAAAAACAATAAAGATAATGCATATAAAATTCGGAAGGATGTAGATTTGAACAAGTTCATTAACAATCTTGATCTATATAAAACCCTACACCAAACAAAAGGGAATTCACCTTCTTTTGCATGCACATATGAAACATTTACTAGAGGTGATCACATACTAGACCACAAAGAAAGAAGTCTTAACACACTCTGAAAATTGAATATCAAATTGAATACATTTTCTGGCCACAGTACATAAAAATTAAAAGCCAATATGAATTGGTTTTAAATTTTGCATTTAAAAAAGACACTTCTGTTTAACTCTGGGGTTTAAGTAAAAATCATAGTGAAATTTTAAAAATATTTGAAGTTGAATGGGCAATAAAAGTGCCTCAAATCAAAACTTGTGGGATACAGCCAAAGCAGTGCTTACAGGTAAATTCATGCTTTAAATGCACTATGTTAGAAAACAAGAAAAACTGAAAATTAATGAGCTAAGAAACCAGGAAAAGTATCACTACTTAAACACAAATCAAGTAGAAGGAACAGAATATCAAAGGTAAACACAGAAATGAATAAGATAGAAAACAAGGAAACAAAAAAGAGAATTAGCAAAGCCCCAAATTGGTTTTTTGAAGAGCCTAGTAATTGGCAAGACTGACGGGGGAAAAAAAATGGCCCCAATCAGCAATATTAGGAATAAAAGGGGGCAAAACCACAGATAGAGCAGAAGTTTAAATTATTGCTCTCAGAGTATGGAGGAGCTTCGGAAACGACCCAGTGGGATCCTCCCTAGACCTCCGGGCAGCCTGTTCCTCGTGGGCAGTGCTGGCCTCACGCAGAGCTGCACCCACTGCTCAGCTCCGGAGCTGTCACTGATGGTGACAGCCACATGCTTCCACAGGCATGCCCACAACCACAGCCACGTATCGCACATGCACACCCAGACACCAGAGCTGCCCCTTTGTGTCCGAATGTGTACACCCAGACACACGTGTTCTGAAAACACACTCAACATTTGTGTAAGCACAAGCATGCTCACATGCATGCACACAGACAGGCTGCTAACACACACACGATGATGCCAGACATGTTCGTATGCGCACACACCCCGACGGGCCACAGCACAATGCTCTCAGTCACACTTGCACACGTGTCAATGCACAGTCTGCACATGTGTGAAGACGCCTTTCCACGGAGGGTGCCGGGTGAGTGCATGCTACATGTTACTCATGAGCATGACCCCATCAACATGCCCGCCTCCCTCGGGCACACACACCAGTGTGTCCACACACGGGGGTGCCCAGGAAGGCCTGCAGGGTGGGCGGCCGTACCTCCAGTTCCCTCAGCAGCTCTGATTGACCACGTGACTCCAGGTCTTCGAGGGCTTCCCCGAACACATGCCAGAGGCCCTCCTCGCGGGCGGGGCCGGGGGCTGGGCTGTAACGTAGGAACCAGAGCGTCAACTCCCGGTGGGCGAGTGGGCAGGCAGGCAGGCTGGGGCCTGAGGAGTCTTCGGGACTCGAGGGGCCATAGGGTGGGCAGGCAGGCGGGTAGGCAGGCAGGCGTCCTCGGTGGCAGTGCTGGGGCCCCAGGGCAGTGGTTGGTGACACAGAATGGGGGGAAGACGCAGTTAGGGGCAACCAGAACTGCCGGTGGCCAGTTAGAACAGGGGCAGATGAGACGGGGTGGAGAGAGGTGACACAGGACGCCTGGGAAGAGAGACAGACAGACAGACACACAGACAAGGACAAACAGGAGATTCATGGTGCAGCCCCAGAGGACAGCCCCTGGCCCCACCCAGACACATGGCACCATAGGACAGTGATGGGTACAGAGCTGGAGCGAGCAAGCACACAGGGATGAAGAGGATGGAGCATGTGTGCTGGGGAGGGGTTGAGACCACCCCCTAACTTCCATGACAGGCTGGATGACCCCATCCTCAGCTCTAAAATCAAGTCTCATCGGAAGGGTAACAAGTCACATTTTCATGCTGCATTGTTCACAAAGCCATTTGCCATCTGCAAAGTCCTGGCTGTTTATAAGGTATGCTGTGGCTTGCAAAGCACTTTCTCTCCTATAAAGGCACGCAGGCTTTCCTCTCTCAGGGAGCCTCAGGGACGATGATGCAAAATCATTGCTTCCTCTTCCCGTTTTAAAGATGAGAAGACTGAGGTTAAAGGACATTCTCTCCATTCAAGTCAGTTCTACAAACACTCTGAGCCGGCCCCCCCCACCCCGCACCGCTGCCCCGGGCACAGGGCTGTGGAGGTGAATAAGGCGTGGCCCCTGTTCTTAAGGAGCCGTGGATTCATCCACACAGTACATACGACCACCTGCTGGGTGCCGGGCACTGAGCTGGGGTGCCACGTAGAAGAGACAACAGCCAGGTAATTAACCAGGTGGACACAAGGTGGCCAGTGTCACCAGGAGGATGGCGACAGCAGCCGTGGGCATCAGCAGAAGGAGGGAGGAATGCCTGCTGCCAGAGAAAGTCAGGGAAGCTTCCCGGGGCAGGGGAATTTGAGCTGGGTTTTGAAGGATGAGTAGGTATTGGCCAGGAGGGGAGAGGGAAAGGCATTCGAGGCAGAAGGAACTACCTGACCAAAAGCACAGACATGAGAACAGAGGGCTAGGGCTGGACAAGGAGCAGCACTTCTCCTCTGGGCCTGCTCTCTGCAGGAGCCTTCTCCAGGGGACGAGACTACAGAAACCACCACATCCACGGCCCAGCGCTGGTGTCTGTGACCAAGGGCCCTGGCAGGAGGCCATCAAGCAATGTGGGCTAAGTCGGGGGGTCTGGCTTCAAGTTCTGAGTCTGCTGTTCTTCTTAGAACAGCAGATTACCAGACGTGGGGAAAGCAAACCAGGCCGCTTCCCCACCTCTGCCCCTGCTGTGCCTTCCACCCCCTTGCTCCTTCCCCCATCTTGGCCTGGCTGAGATGGCTCTGCTCAATGCTTCCTCTCTCTCCCAGGAGGTGCCCCTCCTCAGGGCTCAGACAAGACACTTCCATTGCCCCCACCGCTTTGGCACAGGGACTGGCTACCTTCACCCATCCCAGCCACGAGACCATGACTGTCTCCTCCCTCGGGGCATTCCCACCACAGACCTAGTTGGTGGCTCCCAATCCTCCTCCTCTTCCTCTTCAGGGAAGTTCTCATCGGCAGGGGCCGGCATGTAGCTCGTCCTCCGGGGCTCACTGGGTGGGGGGCTGCTTCTCAGCCGGATGGGCCGCCACTCCTGGGGGGTCACGCCCCGGGCTGCTGCCTGTGGAATGTAGGAACCTGGCAGGTGGAGAGAGAGGACGTTTGCAGCCTCTCTGTGCCTTTAGCTTGCCCTCCTTCCTGCCCCATTTCTGGCCATGCTGGGCAACCCTGGATAGGTCTTTGCCCTCTCTGGGCCTGCATGGCTACCCAGAGTCCCCTGCCACCCGTTCCCCACCCTAGAACCTCCCCAGATCTCCTGATCATCCAGCAGAAGAGTTAATGCCCAGGGCTCCAGGACCCTGTCCCCCTCCATTGGTCTTGGCCCGGTGACCCTTTGCCTGAGAGGGAGGGTCACCATTTGGCCACTGCTCTGTCCCTGCCTTTGGGAGTTCTAAAGACCCTGCCCCCGGGGTGAGCTTCGAGATGCTGACCAAGCGCTCGAGGTGGGGAAGCCGAGCCCCAGAGAGCAAGTGAGCACCAGGGCTGGGAACCATGGAGGCGCTAGAGGCCTCGCTCCACTAGTTCCCTGAGCTGGGCCTCGGGGAGTCCCTGTGGCTCTTGGTCACAGAGGTCAGAAGGCCAGCCTCTGGATTCAAATGCCCCCCAACCCCAAGGCCACTCATGGGTCTCAACATGCACGGGCAGGAGAGCTTGTGTCCTAGGAGGGCACGTTGGAGGCGTCCACCCCAAGCCAGGTCTCACAGGATGGGGTGGGAGGAGGCTTTCTGCCTACTCATCTTCAACTGGATGCGATAAACGTTGACTGAGGCCCTGCTGGGTGCCAGGCACCGGGCCGGGAACGAGAAAGACAGAAGCAAGACCGTCTCAGTCCCTAACCGCACGGGGGAAATCCGAGGAGCCAGCCATGGTGCTAAGGCTGTTCAGCAAATACTGCGAGGGCCTGTGGCCCGTGCTCTGAGGAGCGGGGCCCCGTCAGGTCTGCCTCGTGGAGACGTGTCCCTAAAGGACAGAGCCAGGAGAAGAGGAGTGAGGGGGCGAGGCAGAGGGAACGGCCCTTGCAAAGACCTGGCAGTTGGGGTGGCCCAGGGAGAGCGTGTGGCTTGTCCAAGGGCCCCGAGGTTTTACCTGGGCCCCCAAAGCCACCCTCTGTCGCCGAGCTGTCCCAGGACTCCACGGCGCTGTCCACACTGGGCACGGCTGGTGGGAACCGGGCTGCCAGCAGGCCTCCTTTGAGCGCCTCGGGCGGGTCGTCATCCGCATCGCTGGCCTCGCTGAGGCTGCCCGACTTGCGGGGTGGGAGGGGGCCTAGAAGGAAAAGGGGGTGTCACTGCCATTGGCCTCTGACCTCAGAGACCTGGAGACGCCCAGCGAGCCTCAGCTTCTGCACGTGAGTGTGGTCTGGGAGCTCACAGGCCCTGAGCCCCCCAGCCTGCCGCTGGGCAGTCTGACACGCGGGAGGTGGCACGCCAGCAGGCAAACCCATTTCACAGGTGGGAAACCGAGGCTCAGGAGGCTGAACAGCAGGCCCAAGGTCCCATGGTGAGCAATAATGGAGCCCAGATCAGAAGGAAGACCCCAAGGCTCAGGTTCCTTCCACGGCGTGTGGTGGCCTCCCTACCGAGGCCCAGGGGGCAAACTCAGGGGAAACTGAGACATGCACAAGTGACGGCCACAAACAGCCTTAAAAGGCAAGAGGTGATGAAGAGCAGGGCTGCAACCAGACTCTGCCCCACGCCAGCTGTGTGACCTCGGCCCGCCGCTCCCCTCTCTGTCTTGTCTCGCTGGCTGTCCCAGGTATCTGCCCACCTCCACAGGATTCCGTGGAGATTCCACAGGGGTGGGCACATAGAGCCAGGCACAGAGGGCTCTCCCTTCCTAAAGGGGCTGGATGGCCCCAGGGCGTGGGGTGAGGCTCACGCTCTAGCTGTTTCTTGATCTTCAGTGTGACGGTCTCGCCAGCCACCTGCAGGAGGTGGATGGCCTCACTCAGCGGCCGGCCCTTGAGGCTAACACTGTTGATGGCCAGAATACGGTCTCCAACGTGGATAGCGCCAGTCCTGGGGAGGGGGTACAGGGCAGGGGATGAGAGTTAGACACTCAGGGCTTCGGAGTAGGGATCTGCCCCTGGAACTCAGAAACTCCAAGGCACAAGCCTGGCTGACCTCAGTTAAACCCAACTGCAAAAAAAAAGCAAGTGTGACCTTGGATTGCATTAATAGACGTATAAAGTCTAGAATCTGGGAGGGGATGATCCCGCCTGACTCTGAGGTTAAGTTCTGGAACCAGTGTCAAGCCTCAGTTTGGAGCATGGTTTGAAGCCCACGTACTAGCTGCGTGATCTTGAACCAGTTTCTTAGCTTCCCTGAGTCTCAGTTCCTTCATCTGTAAAGTGAGTGTGATAATACTTATTTTATCAAGTTTTAATTGAACGATGGGTGGGTGAGATGGGCTCATGTTTCCCTCCAGCAGAAATACTTGGGTAGCCTTTCTTTCTCCCTGGGCCTCAGTTTACCTACCCAGAGAATGAGCATAATCCCCAAGGCCCAGGTGACTTCACAAGGGGCTACGAGGGGCTGACGAGGCCAGACAGAAGCACTGCTTTGGCCCAGTGGTTTTCTGCCTGGATACCATTAGAACGAATGACTTGAGGAGATTTTTAAGAACCGCAGATGCCTGGTCCCCACCCCTGACCAATTAAATAGTACCTCTGGGAGTGGACGGCGGAAGGTGCTCTGAGGAGCAGCCAGGGCCAAGAGTGCGGAGAGAAGCTGCAGCAGGTGCCGAGAACGCACCTGACCCGGGAGGGAGGAGACAGGGGACTGGGGTCAGGGGTCTTGAACCCCAAATGCAGATGTCGCCCCCGGTGGGAGCTCATGGAGGGTCCAACCAGCGTGCCCTCGTGGCCAGCACTGCCCAGCAAGCTCCCCGGGGGCCTGGGGAGTGAGTGAGTCAGGGAGCGGGGGATTCAGGGAGGGCAGCTGGAGCCACGCTGTCCAGCACGACAGCCACCAGCCACATGTGGCTGCTGGGCCCCTGAGAATCAGCCGGCCCCAACCGAGATGTGCGGAAAGTGTGAGACACACACCAGGTCTGAAGACGTAGTGTGAAGAAAAGAAGATAAAGTATTTTGTTAAAAATTTTTATATTGATTACATGTTGAAATAAATATATATTTAAGACTCATTTTGTTTCTTTTTACTTTTCTAATGTGGCTACTAGAAAGTTGGTAAATAAATTCGTCTCTTGCGTTCTACCACAGCTGGACAGCGCCAAACACCATCAGCCTGGCGAAGTCAGTGGGACTGTCTGTGGCCTCCCCCGCGCCCAAAACCGGCTGATTCCCAGGCTCCCAGTGACCGCGGGAGTGGGTGAAGGTGTGTGAGGCTGGAACGGTCCCCGCTGGCCTCTGCAGTCTGCCAGGCGTCCGGCAGGGGGCGCTCCAGGAGTGGAAAGACCAGCACAGGGAGGCGTCCTGCGGGGCCACAGCCCCAGAATCCCTGCCGCGTCCCAGCTCGCCCGCCACGGGGTCCCCCTACCCGCCAGGCCCGACCAACCTCCCCCTTTACAGCCAGCTCCTCTCTGCCAGGAGCTCACTGCACAGCTGTCGGGAAAAGTTCGTCTCACTCACATTGGGGTGGCCTCCCTGCGACCCTTAGGGTCCAGCACATAGGAGTGGAATAGGGGGCCCCATTCCACCTCTGAGTCCCAGATCCACTGGCTCCCCCCTCCAACCGGGAGCGCCTGGGACACCCCTCCTCTCACAGCCCCCGAGCTGCCGCAACTTCGAGGACACTTTCTAGGGGAAGGGAGAGCAGGGGGCAGGAAAAGTCCCAGGCTGTGCTGGGACCCAGGTGCGGGGACATGGCTCCTGTACCATGAAGGCACAAAACAGGCGCTCCAAAAAGGCTCACAATACCGACTTTCCGGAAGCTCCAGGTTGGGAGGGAGCAGAGGGGTTAGCACATTTGTCCAGCGTACCTGGAGGCCCGGGCAGTCTGCCGGGGGCTGGCCTGCCTCTGCGAATGGAGGCTCAGAGAGGGAAGGCACAGGCCTGATGTCACCAGGGCATCGACATTGGAACAAAGGTCATAATCCAGTTTGGCTGGTCCCAAAGCCCAGCTTCCCATGAGGGTCCCTGGGCCCACCCCATGTGTGCCCACAGAGTCCCGGCTCACCTCTCAGCCAGACCTCGCTTGGTGAGGCCTGAGATGACAATGGGGTCAAAAGGCTCCTCCGTGCCCGAGATGGTGATGCCCAAGGGGCCCCCGTAGCGCTTCAGCTCCACCGTGTAGCTGATGGCACCCGTCATCTCCTGCTCATCTGCAAGGGGGGACCCATCGGGGCAGGGTCCAGGGGCAGGGCCCAGGAGCCCTTGGGGCAACTCATCCATTCACTCACTCATCCATCAGTTCCCTCATTCGCTAGGGCCATGACTTCAGATGGCTCAACCTGGGGACCCTGAGGCCATCTTCTGCCTCCAGAAATGTTTTCTTGCACCCAAACACCATTTTTTAAAAAAAATAAAGAAAAGAAACATGGAAGCAGCATCTTAAAACACAGATTTCACACACCACACGAAATAACAACATGATGATGCTGACGATGATGATGATAAGAAGAAACCAGACTTCCAGCTTTTCTTCCCACAAGCGACCCCTCTGCAGGGTAGGAGTTGGGGCTGCCCTCCCGATGAGGGCTCGCCCTCCATGGCCACTGTCCTTTCCCTTCTCTCTGCTTCCCCGACCTGAGTCATTTTCCTGCCTTCTTCCAGCTCACTCCCCTGGTCACCCTGTGGCCTCAGGGGTCTGCGTCTGCAGCCTGTGCCTTTTCACTCACCGCCCCCCCACCCCCGCCGTGCTGCACCCCCACCCTCATTCACGCCCACCAGCCCACCCGCTCATCTGCTCACAGCTGCTTCGAGGGGCTCCTCTGCGGGGCTTTGTGCGTCTCCAACTCCCCGACCTCACCGGGGCCCTGGAGGGCTCCAGGCCCCAGGGACAGTGAGAAGTCCGTGGTGCTGCCCGCTCCCACATCTGTGCCCTCCAAGAGTCTCCACCAGCCAGCCCTGGGGGCCACCCACCATGCCCCTCCCCAGCCAGAGGGAGCCCTGAGTTGCAAGCTGGGCCCCCGCGGTGAGAGGCTGGACCTCGAGAGGGGCGGGCGGGGTCGGATGCGTACCAGAGTTGTCCTCATCCTTGCGGACCTTCAGCCTCACCAGGTCCTCGCACTGCTGCAGGATTTGCACGGCGTCCTCCAGGGGACAGCTGTCCAGGCGGGTGTTGTCGATGGCCAGCAGCCTGTCACCTGGCTCGAGGGTGCCGGTCCTGCGCGAGCAGGAGTAGGGCCGGGAAGAGCCTGGCACATGAGGTACCATGTCCACCTCCACTGACCGCTCCCCCTTCAGGTGCCCAGGCCCCACCTGTGTGCCACACTGCCCTTCTTGACGTCAGAGATGATCAGGGGCTCCCCTCGCTTCCTGCTGGCTGCTGGAGGAAGAGAGGACAGCGGTCCGCCCTCCCATCGCCCCGCCTCGGGGGTGGGGGCCAGGAGTCGGGGCGTGCACTCGGGGCCGCACACCCCGCTCCCACTGCTTCCTGGCCGGGTGACTGAGCAAATCAGCTCGCCTCTCTGTGCTTCAGTTTCCCCTCTGTAAAATGCAGATGACACCACAGGCCTCGTGGGGACGTCGTGAGATTGAACTAGACGAGGCGGGCAGGAAACCTCACACAGACCCTGGCACACGGTAGGTGCTCAATCCACATCAGCCCTTCCCCCAGCAAACCGGGAGCTCCTGGAGGGGCTGTCTCTGGCTGGTGTCTGTGTCCCCAGCACCTGACCCCGGGCCGGGAACCAGACCCGCTGTGAAAGGGTGACCCTGCCACCATAGAGGTCTTCCCTCCCCAGCTGCAGCGAGCGCTGGCCGCACGGCTCACAGCGGGCTCCCTCTGGAAAGAGCCTGCAGCCGAGGAAGCGCCCCTCCTGGGTGCCGCCTACGTCCAAGGACTGGGCCACGGAGCGGCGCAAGGGCTGCTTCGCAGCTCAGCTCAAGACAGCTTCCCAGGCCTCCCGGCTCCAGAGCTCTCCTCGGACTGGCTGAGCCTCTACTGCGACTGCAACACAGCCCAGCTTCTTCCTTGGCCCAGGCCTGCAACACCGCTGGCACATGAGGGGCCACATCCACCTCACTCTGCCCTCACAGCTCTCGGGTGTGGATCCCAAAAGCCCTCCTCCACAAACCCCCACACCGGACTCCTTGTCTGAGAAGCTGCTTCTGGGAGAATATGACCTAAGACAGTGAGTGTCGCAGGAGTGGCCAAGTTTTCTTGCAAAAAGAATCCAATGGGGTTAATGGGTTTTCCCGTTAGTGACCAGAGTTGGAGCATGAATTAAGCACCTTCTGTGTTCCAGGCCTCTTCTGGGCCCTGGGAACACGGAGGTCGACAGAAAATCAAACCTGGCCCATGTGTTTGGTGCCTTACAAGCCACTGCATCCCACCGGGAGACCCAAAACGCTAGACTCCAACTGCGCAGAACAGGAAACCAAGGCTTCGAGAAGCTCAGGCCTTGCCCAAGGACACATAGCTGCACAATGCAGGGTGGAGGGAACTCCAGTCAGCCTCCCAACCCGGAGCCTTTCCCCCGGGGCAGGCGGGGTATCCCTGCCACGAAAAGGCCAGCAGCTGCTCCTCAGGGTCCTCAGGGCTGGGCACGCTCTTTCTCGCAGCAGGTGGCTGGCTCCCAGGGTCAGGCAGGCCGTACAGGGAGGGGACTCACAGCTGATGGTGATGCCCAGCTCCACACCGCGCCTCTTGGGCAGCTTCACGTGGAAGGTGCCACTGCTCGGGATGACGGACTCTGGTACAGACAGACACGGACCCCCGTGAGACCCAAGGGAGGAGCCTCAGGGAGTCCCTGCCCTACACCCACTCTGTTCCAGCTGGGAGGAACCCCAAAAAGTCACTGTCCCACCCCCATCCTGCTTCTTCCACTGACAGACAGAAAACAGCCATGGTGAGCTGAGAGATTTGCCCAAGATGACCAGCCCACCTGGTCAGAGCAGAGTTGGGACTGGACCCCAGACCTCGCGACTGCCAGCCAGGGGTTCCTCATGGACAGACCCAACCCACTTAAGATCCAGTGCCAATTCCCCAAGTAACTGTTAGGCACCAGGCCTTAGCGGGGTGTTCTCACAGGATTTATCTCACCTAATGGGAACACCGTCCCCGCGGCAGGATTCTAGTCGCTATTTCGCAGTCGGGGAAAGTGAGGGTGGAGAGGAGGTGTCCTGTCCAAAGTCCCAGAGGTTCCAAATCTCAGGACCAGGATCTCACCTGAGCTGCTGTTTGGGGTTCTTTGCCTAGGCCCCAGAGCAGAGTGGAGCATTTCCAGCACCCGGCCGCCCTCCCTAGGTCCTGTTTGCAAAACTGCCTTGTCGCCCTCACGCTGGCTGTGGCATCCCTCTTCGTCCCTGCCAGTGCTTCCTTCTCACCATCAGCGCTCAGGCCTATGCCACACAGGACCGCGGGAGGAGGATGGTGGGGTGGGTGACGCGCAGGTGGAGATAAGAGAGGGAGCGCAGGGTCGAAGCCAGGGGCATCACTCACCGGCCACGTCAAACTCGACCTCCAGCACGACCCTGTGGGCCAGCGCAGCATCCCGAAGCAGCTGGTTGGCTTCCTCCATGGTCCCGTCCTCGGTGGCGATGCCATTGATGGACAGGACGCGGTCCCCAACCTGCAGCAGCCCACACCTGCACAGCGGGCAGCCCGGCAGAGAGAAGCAGTTCCATCACCATCCCAGCTCCATCGGGAGACAGGAACACCGTGCGGGGGCAGGGCCAGGGCCGAACCCGGGCCCCACCTCCCGGCCTGGCCTGCGTGTGACTCTCAGCTCAGCCCTGTGCTGGCTGGAGATCCTCAGGCAATGTATCACGTGACTCTGCAGAAGGGTGTGACCTTGCTGGGCCTCAGAGTCTCTGCCCAACGGAGACGATGCTGTGCCTTACGAGATACGTGTACAGAAGACTCTGACTACACACAAATAGGAGTTCAACTCCTGGGTCACTCAGGAGTTGTGTGACCCTCGGCAAGTGAATCAGCTTCTCTGAGCCTCGGTTTCCTCAGATGTAAAATGGGGCTGGTGATGGAGTTGATGTGCTGGTTAGGCCGGATACCCTTGTGCAGCCAGGCTTGGTGTCTGACTCAGTTTCCCTGTCTGTGAGCCCCCTGAATTGGAGAGTGACAGGCCCAGCGGGGAGGGGGCAGCAGGCTCACCTGTCGGCTGGGCTGTCAGGCTCGATGAAGCGCACGAGGGGCGGGGAGGACAGGGTCTCGGTGGCGAAGATGCCGCCCTGGAGCTGCAGGCCGAAGCCGCTGAGGGGGTCTCCGCAGAGCACGACTTCCGTGGTCTCCGCGTGCACGATCTGCCCGCCGGGCCCCACCGTGCTGGAGGCCAGCGACACTGCGGGGAAGGTGGGCACGGCACTCAGGTGGGCGGCCCGGAGCCGCCTTCCCGCCAGCGCCAGCCTGGCGCGGCTCTGCTCTGCGAGGGGAGGCCGACTCACTGGGGCCAGGCCCCAGCGCGGCCTGCTCTGAGCCCTGGTTTCCTCCTCTGCACAATGGGACCTGGATTCCCACCTGGCAGGGCTGTGGCAAGGATTAAGGAAGACAGCTCCCGGCACTGTCATGTGGTGAAACAGGTTCTGAGGGTCGGTGACACTATGCCATGTCACGTTATATTTTATTATATCATATCATATTGCTATTATTATACACTATAGTATACACTATGTCATTTCTGGTAACAGCTTTATTGAGATACAATTCACCTGCCACGGTATTCACCTATTTTGAGGGTACAGTGCGATGGTTTTTAGTATATTCACCAAGTTGTACAGTCTGAACCACAGTCAATTTCAGAACACTTTCATCGCCTCAGAAGGAGACCTTGTACCCTTTAGCCTTCGCCCCAAATCCTCCCTTCGCTCCCTTAAGCAATCACTACTCTATTTTCTTCTCTGTCGATTTCCCTGTTCTGGACATTTCATACATGGACTCCCACAATATGTGGCCTCCTGTGTCTGGCTTCTCTCACTCAGCATCGTGCTGTCAGGGTTCAAGCACGTACCAGCAGCTGTCAGTACTCCCTTCCTTCGAAGGCCGAGTAACGGCCCCTCTAGCGGACACCACATTTTGTTTGTCCGTTCATCTGCTGACGGGCACCGGAGTTGTTTCCACCTTTGTGATACTACGCACAAGGCTGCCACGGACAAGCGTGTGCGCGTTTTGGGGAGACCCGGCATATGTTTTCTTTTCTTTTGGGCAGATACCCAGATGTGGAATTGCTGAGTCATATGATGACTTTATATCTATTTGATATGTTATGTTTCTTAATATATTTTGTTTTATATTCCATATATAAAAACATTCATACTATTAATATGAATATTGGATACCATTTATTAAATAAAATTTATTATTGTAATTCATTATATTACTAATTATATTATACTATTACGTCTTTATATACTATTTTGTTATGTTTTATACTACACATTATGTGTTATTATATTTACATTTATTCTTTTTTTCACTATTACATCCCAAATGATGAGAATGGTGCCTGGTACATAGGAAATATTAAAAAATGTTGTTTAACTGATTAATTGTTATCATCAACAATAATAATGATAATACTTCATTGGTCACCCATCCTAGGAAGCAGATAGGTAAGGGGTCCCAAGAGCCCCCAGCCTCCACATGCCCCTGCCTATGAAGAGCATTTCTAATCTTTTCACCTACACACCCCCAGCACTGGTCGTTGACAAAAGTGGTTGGTAAAGGTGTATTTTATCTCTCATCTGACCCTGAAATGTTTCCCTTTTCATTTGGCTCTTGGGAAGCTCATAACCATATTTAGCTCCTTTCAGGTGCCAGGTAACTGGTACTCCTCTTTTCCCTAACGTAGTTCAATTCCAAATGGCCCAGTTTGACCCTCCATCCTTCCTGGAGGCCTCTGCAACACCCATGGCAGGAAGTTGGGTAAACTTTCTACATCAACAAAGGAAAGACTCCTCCCAGGAAAAATTTCAAAATTCTGGGCATTCACACGCCTCCTGCATTATCAATCACTACGATTTATCTTCACATTTCTTCACTCTTCTAAACACTTCAATACATTCACTTCAAAACGGACCTATATATACAGTGATTATAAATAAAGAACAATGTCTACAAACAAAAGGCAAGTAGAAATATGTATCTAGTAAAAGTGAAAATTATTACATTCTGGATGGCTCATTTCAGGCTTGTGTGTCTCTGTCTTAGGGGAAATTAAAAAATGTCAGAGAGGCAGTAAAGACAGTTTCACCACACTCAGACTTTCTCCTTGAATGGATCAGAAGGACTGAATAAAAAAGAAAATGAAATGGAGTTACTGTGAGAACTTCACACAAATCTGAAAAGGCATCCTTTCCTCAAGACACTTTGCCACTACCTGCTAGAAATTTTCCATAATAAAAACACAAGACTGAAATGTACAAAGTAATTGGCCCCCCTCAGGTACGTCCTTGGGCAGTGCACAACCTGGGCAACCATCCATGGCAGCCTGGTGTACCACTCATGCTATTTCATGACCCCCCACCAATACCAGGGGCCCTGCCCAAAATACCCCCCACCCTTGGGGAAATCTCCCTCTTAGGCATCCAGGCAGCCAAAATGGGAGGGAAGAGACCACAGCTTACATGAGCTCTTATGTTCCCTTCTTCGCTGCCTCCTCCGCCCCATCGTGGTCTGGGGGCTCATAGGCTGGGACCCACGGGGAAGGGTGCTGGGGTTGGTGCAGGGCAAGGCGTGGTTTACAGTCGGCGAGGAAAAGGGAGTCGAGGACGAGGCTGGGGAGATGAGAGCACAGCCCCGTGAGCCCCAGCAGGCCCTCCGCACGCCACTGGGTGGGTGCCAGCAAGCCCCCCAGCCACCGGAGACATGAGGAGACCTCCTTTCACCCCAACCACGCACTGTGTGACCTCGGGCAAGTCTCCCCCTGGGCCTCAAAGACTGCAGGGTTTCCACAGACCCGGGGAGCCCAGCTGCCAGGCACAGGGGCCCATCTCATCACTACGGTGCCAGGCGACCCTGGGCAGGCCCTCCCATTCGGAGTCTTGGTTTCCGCCCTCATAAAACATGCACAAGCGCGGCAGGTGGGCCCGTTACCTCGGCTCTGGTCCTGGCCGCCAGGTGCGGCCCAGCTGGGCGCCTTGCAGTGGCCGGGCCTGGGGCCGCGGCAGGAGGGCACGCAGGGGTCCCAGCGACGCGGCTGCTCGCTCCTCTGCACCTTCACTGGGCCGGGCCGACGGAGGAAGAGAGAGAGGTCCAGGCGTCAGGCGCTGCGCGGTCTGACCTCCCCACGCCCCGCCCGCCCCTGGAGGCTGCGCCCCGACCCGTCCCCTGAGCCGAGGGAGGCAGTGGGGACTGTGCTCCCGCGTGCTGGCCGCCCGCTCTGTGCCGGGCACTGTGCTCAGCAGGGGACAAGGGAGGGAAAGCAGCCGCGGCCAAGGCCTGCCGGGAGGTGCCAGGGCGGGGTCGGAGCCAGGCCGCGCGCTGGCCCTGGAGCCCGAGAGCTGGCCCGGGGCTCTGCGGGGAGCAGCTGCGGTCGGGACGCTGCACTCCCACCCCACCTGAGCATCTGCGCGGGACCCCAGAGACCCTGACCCCGCCCCGCCCCGCCCCGGCCCTCCAAGCTGGCCCCGTGCGACGACGCTCCTCCCCTACCGCCCCCGGCCCTGTGCTGGCTCTTCCTTCCGCTGCGGGGCTCCGAGGGCCCCGCGGGGGGCAGCGTGTCCCGGGAGGGCCGAGAGAGGACCCCGCTACCTCAGCCCACCAATCCTGCGTCCCCGTGCAGCGCCCCCACCCTCCCCCAGGGGCCTGGCCGCCTCTGCAGCCAGCTGCTGGCTCACTGAGACAAGTCACTCAGCCCCTCTGTGCCTCTGTGTCATCATCTGTATAAGGGACTGAGAGCAGCCACCTCCTAGGGCCCCGGGGAGGTTCCGGATGAGTTCAGGCTCCTGATGTGCTTAGAGCACCCAGGTGAGGCCCAGTCAACGAGGGCCAGGAGGACAGCCCGGAGGACGGCCTGGAGGACCGTGGGCAGCTGTGTGCCTCGCAAGGCAATGCACTTCTCTGAGCTCAGCCGCCTCGGCCACCTCTGACAGGAGATGGCAGCAATACCGACCTCAGAGACTGTCCGGAACAGGAAGCGAGATGACCCACAGGAAGCCCAGCACCAAGCCCGTCCCGCAGCAGGTGCCCCGTAAACAGGCGGGAATGAATGAACGCACGCCACCACTTCACCCCAGGCCTCCTGTGTCAGCCCCTGGCCGTGGCTCACTAGGGCCTTCTCAGACCCTGGCCGAGACCACAGAGACGGACCCTCCCCCAGGCCCGTCCCCCCACATCTGATCTAGGGGATTTCTTTCTCTCCCGGAAGGTCAGGCTTGCGAAGGGTGGGGCGAGCAGACTCCAGCCTTGCCCACACGCTGTGTCCCGGGACCTGGAATCCACGGCCTGACTGCCCAGATGGCAGCCCTAGCCATGCTCTGTCCTTTACTCGTGTAACCTCCCCCAAGCCTGTGCACTCGGGTCCTCACTCCCGCTTACAGATGAGGCAACTGAGGCTCAGAGAGGCAAAGCACCTGTCCAGCAGGGGACAAGGTTGGGATTTGAACCCAAAGCCTGGGTTTGGACTGCTGGAGGCACTTCCTCGCCTTGAGCAGGGAGCCGCCTCCCTGTGACCACCCTTCACCCTGCCCCGGGCCCCAGCTCTGCCCCCTGGTCCCCTAGATCACCTTCTCCCTCTGCTCTTGGAACTTCCCAGCACCCCAGCTCCCTGTTGCAGGCTGGGAGACCCCAGCTCCTCACAGGGGGTGCCCTAGGCCCTCCCAACTGCCTGGCTGCCTCTTCTGGACCTGCTGAACCCAGGATCCAAGCTCTGAGTAGCACAGAAGGACTGTCCCCTCCCTTGTTATAGCCCTTACACTTCTATTAATGCAACCAGTGATGAAACTAGCTTCGGGGGCATCCATGCCAGCAGACTGTCAACTCAAACATTCAGGTTGTTGCTCTGACCCACCTCCCCACCCTGCACTGGACCCACTGACCCACCTCCCCACCCTGCACTGGACCCACTGACCCACCTCCCCACCCAGCGGCTGCACTGGACAGGTTGACCTTCCCTGTAGGAATGTTTGTTCCAGTAAATTTTAGCCTGCTCAGAGCTTTGGCCTTAGGCCTCTGGGGCCTTGTGGACCCCTCCCCATCTGCCCTCAGATTTGGGCCCTGAGACCCTCCCAGAGGACCCACCTGCCTCTGAGGGCTTCAGGGGCGTTTGACTTCGGGGTGCAGGCAGGACCTCCAGCCGCACTTTCTCCGACACGCTGGCCAGGAGCTTGGTGGCCTCGAGCAGCGAGCAGCGCTCTGTGCTGGTGCCGTCAATGGACAGGATGCGGTCTCCAGCATGCAGGGCCCCACTCCTGGCCGGGCAGGGGAGTGAAGGGGAGGCGGGTCCAGCCGGCCAGAGCCCTGGGCGGCCTCTCCCCCGCACAGCCCCCCGGCCGCGGCAGCACTCACCTGTCCACCACGCTAGCCGGCTTGACGCGGTCGATGGTGAGGACCGGCCTGTCCCGGTGGGAGCTGGTGGTGAGCGAGATCCCCAGGGTGGACCCCGGAGTCTTGGTTATTTCCACTGTCGAGGGCCCAGCAGTGCCGGCCACCACATCTGGCACAGGAAGGAAAGAAGACTCTGAAATGCAAATACTGAGCCTCTCCCCCCGCCTCACTCTGCTGTCTCGAGTTAATCCCCACTGCCGGGGAGGGATCATCGCACCCAGTGTGCAGACAAGAAAACCGAGGTCTGTGGAGGTGAAGGCCTCGTCCGAGGTCACACAGCCGCTCAACAACAGAGGAGGGGCAGGAATCAGGTCTGAGGGGCTCTGGCCCCAGGGCTTTGCAGGGCGATACTAATTTGCTCACATTTATCGACACCTGCTGTGTGCCGGCACTGAACGGCAGTACTGGTTCACGGCGAGCCCGCCCCATCTCAGAAAACGGCAGCCCTGTCAAGCCACCCAGGGGCTGGAAGACAAAATCCAGCTCCCCTGCTCTGTCCCCGCCACCAGGTCCAAACACCAGCACATTGGGCCAGCTCCCTTCCATCGTATTTCCCGAATCCGCCCCTTCTGAGCTCCCCCTCAGCAACCAGCCCCGTCCAGCCACCAACACTTCTCTCTCACTTGGATGGCTGCAAGTCGGAGGGCATCCTCGCCTTCTCCCAGGCCTTCTCTCGCCCTGATTTTTTTTTTTACAGCACTACTGTCATCTGACACACTGGGTACTTGATTTATTCCATCTACTGTCTGTGTCTCCCCAGAATGTCAGCTCCCTGAGAACAGTCACCTTGTCTGTACTTCTCTCAGCTGGATCGCCAGGGCGTCAGATGATGCCTGGCACATAGTGTTCATTACCCAGAGCAGCTCAGAGAGGCTCAGCGCCTGGCCCAAGGGCACACAGCCTTTGTGGTGGTGAGGATCTGTGCCCATGCTCCTCTTCCCAGGGCCTCTTCCCACCCCAACCCAGCCTTCAGGCCCCAGCTCACCTGGGACGGCCACGTCGTACTCCACCTGGAAGAGTGCCTCGTGGCTGCACTGCCGCAGGGTGGCCAGGGCAGCGGCATGGCTGGCCCCCTGCAGCGGGATCCCATCAACGCTGAGCAGCCTGTCGCCCACCTTCAAGGAGCCCTCCCTGCAGGGAAGGGCCCGGTCAGCCAGCCCAGCCCGGCGTGAGCCCTGGGCCGGGCCCTGCAGAGAGGGCGCTGGAAAGGTGGGGGCTGGAGGACAGAGGAGGGGCTGCGAGTGGGCGAAGGCGAAGGGGATGGAGTACACGAGTGAAGGAATGCATGAGTGAGGGAGAGTGAGTGACCACGAGTGAGCAGCTGGACAAACACAACTGTGAGTAAAGACGGGAGTCGGGTCACCGGCTCTGATGTCTCCCACCACTTGGTTCCTAATAAGGTCACAGTCCCAGCTCAACCTCAGAACATCTGAGCTGGGGATGCCCTTCGAGGTCCCCACCCCTCCTGCCCCAGGGACAGAGGAGCCTGCAGGGCCAACAGCGTCAGGGTGGTGCACCCTGCAGTTCTCACGGGCCCATCATGAGGTCCCTCTGCTCCCACGCTGGCTTCTCAGCAGTCATTCTGGCCTGGTGACAAGTGCGCCTGGGAACGAACTCAGCAGGGGCCCCGGGGGAGAGGCCCAAGCTGGGGTTCACCTTGGTTTGGGTCAAATCCCGCCCGGAATGCGTGCCCCAACAGGTGGCCAAAGCCCTTCTGCGAGGCTCTATGAATAGCTCGTCCCAGGGCCCTGCCCCAAGGACGGATTTAGAGTTCTACAAGGCCGTTCCAGGCTGGTCTTAAAATGGCTAGGAATCTCCCGCCAGGGCAGTCAGGGGGTCAGGGGCTGGGAACTGGACATGTTCCTCCCCCACATTCTCTCCTCCTTGAGCTTCTGGGCTGGGCCAGCAGCACACCACGACTGGGAGGCTGCGCTATAGAGGGCCACAGTGAAGCCCATCACCGGGCCCCACAATCTCCCACAGCAACTCTTAGGGGCTGCCATACTGGACCCATTCCACAGAGAATAAAACCAAGGCCGGGCAGAGGCAGAGGGACCCAACACCAAGGCTCACTCCCTCCCCGCCCCCGAGACGTAGGAGGTTGGGGAAGAAAGAGCTTAGGGTCTCTCTCATCTGGGGTTTAGTCCTGGCTCCACCAGTAATTCCCTGAGTGACTCTGGGCAAGGGGCATCGCCTCTCCGAACCACGGTTTGCTCATCTGGGGACGGGCACAATGGCCCTGCTCTGCCTTCTTCACAGGGGAGCTGGGGGCGGTCAGGGCGGGGCGAGGCTACAAGGTCTCCTCCGGCCCAGGCTCACCTGTCGGCAGGGCCGCCGGGCCGCACGTAGGTCAGGACAAGCGGGCGGGACTTGTGCCCGTCTTCATGGGCACCGCCTGCATGGAATTCAGCAAGAAGCCAGAATCATCTGCCCACTCCCACCCTGACGCCCAGAGGTCCTGAGCCAGCCCCTAAGCAGGCCCCGTTAATGAAATCTGTTTGAGGACCCGTCCTTGCAATTCACAGGCCCTCTTGGAAGGCACCAACTGTAAATCCCCCCGAGCCGGGAAAGAGGCAGGGAGCACGAGCAGAGTCCTCTCTCTGTTAAGTGGCTTGCTCCTCCTCCTGTGGTCTCACCCTGGCTCCCTTTGGGCCCTGGTAGGCAGGGCCAAGGTTTGTTCTCAACCTCGGGAGGAGCTGCCACCATCGTTTTCTGGCACAACTTTCCCTCTCACTGCCCCAGCCATGCACGCTTCGTGGCTTGGCAGATGTTTCCACTGAACATTGGACTTAATGGTCCTAGGTTCGCTAAAGTCAGAAGCACGATCCTACTTATCTATCAATTGATCGATTGATCTATCTTATATATCTGTATCTATATTCACTAAAGCAAAACAGAACACACACGGAAATAGCATCAGCCTCCATCCTGCCCCCTGACCCCAAGGGCAACTCTTACACTGACCTCTGAGGACAAAGCCAAAGCTACTGCCCTCCTTGTAGAGGGAGACGTCCACTGTCTTTGAGATGATCCCTGGGTTGTTCTCAGGGGCTGGGGAGAAACGGAGGACTCCCTTAGTCCCTCAGTCACGTCCCCAAGCTGGCAGACGTCCCCAGAGCTCATTCTGGGAAAGCTGGGTGACCAGTCATGGAGACTCCAGGGAAGGTAAACTCCCTCCCATTTTACAGGTGGGACAAGTGAAGCTCAGAGGGACCCTCTTCCCTAATACCCACTCAGTCCACCACTCAGAGAGCGGAAAGCACCCGCTCACGGGCACACAGAGAGAAATCAGGCTTCAGTCCATGGCTGGTGGGCTCCACACAAGGTTGAATTCCAGTTACTCAAATTTTATGTCTTTAGACCAACTTTGAAAATTCAGAGCTAAGCTAAACAGTGGCCTAAAACCCTAGGCCACTGTATTCAGTGCAGGGTAGTAGGGTAGGGAGAGCGGTAGGGCAGGGAACAATTTATTCAGCCAACATTCCCAAAACCTTCCTGTCTAAAGGAAAAGCATCTGGAAAATAAATAACCAAAATGACTATGGGTTATAAAGAGGGCCCTGCCACCTCCTGGGGACAGCATACAGCCATTGCAGGCATAGCCCCTAGGTGCAGCATGGATGTTTGGGGCCAGGCTCCAGGTCCTGCCCACCCCAGCTGGCACGATCCCCACCACCCAGGTGCTGGTGGGGAGGCAGCTGTGTCCACCCACGACCAAGGCAGTGGAGAAAGTTCCCCGTCCAAGGGCACCCACCGGGCGGGGGCAGCTCATACTCCACCTCCAGCACCACGCGCTCGCCCACATTCTTGAGCAGGGTGATGATCTCATCATGGCGGAGCCTGGTCAGGTGGATCCCATTCACTGACCGAATGTAGTCACCCACGTTCAGCAGGTCACTCCTGGGAGCAAGGAGGCCAGAGCACATGCATGGTGACAGGTGCCGGCACTCATACCCACCCTCCCGTTGAATCCTTGTGACCTCTGAATTTTACATTCAGATGGGGAAGCTGAGGCTGACAGGGGTCAGACCCCGTCCAGAGTCAACGGCGAGTGAGCCCAACAGGGATTCTAACCCAGACCTGTCTCGCACTCAGGCCCAGCACTTCCCCCCGAGCTGGTCTGCCTGCTTTTCCTCCTGCTGGGGTGTCGGCATAGTTACGGCTCTGAGCAGCCCGGACAAGCCCGCAGAGGGGCCAGGTCATCCTCTCCTTCGCTGTGCCCTAACGCTCTTCCCGACTTTTTACCGCGAATCTTCCATTCTGTTCGAGTGGACTCTTACCAGCGCCTGCCCCGAGTGAGGCCCGGAGAGGCAGTGATGGACAGGCCACCTCCCAGCTGTCATGGAACTCACGGCCTGGGGGAGCCGCAGGGTAAACGACAGGAAATCCAGGGCAGCGTGTGCAGAAGTGGCACACGGGGCTGTGTGGGCAGAGCGGCTGCCTCGCCTGGGGTCAGGGGGCCTCCCAGAGGCAGTGTGAGGGGTGGATAGGAGTCGGCCAGGAGCATGCTGTAGGGAAGGGGGCTTCTGGGAGAGGAAACTGCAAACACAAAGGCCGGAGGGCCCGGCAAGTGTGGGGCACTGTGGCCGAGTCAGCCCTGGTGTAAAGGGAAAGAGAAGAAGCTGGCCTGGAATTATCACCTCCCCCGGAGGCCTTCCCTCCACAGACACCAAGCTCTGGGGTGCCCCTCGAAACCACTGTCCGGTTGCTTTGCCTAAGGCCCTAGGACATTTTCCACTGGCCCAGTCCCCCCGCCTGCCCCCACCGAGCCCATTTCTCACCGGGCTGCGAGCCCCCCAGGTCTCAGGTTGGAGACCCTGGGCTTCCCGTCCTTGTCGGTGCCACCTGAGATAGTCAGACCCAGCGTGCTGCCTTCTTTCTTGATCAGCTCCACCACCGTGACCCCTCGGAACTCCTCTGCCGACAGATGGGGGGTGAGTGGGCAGCATGGGGCAATCCTGGGCCCCAGCTCCAAGACAAGGGAAGTAACACCGGGTAAGCAGGGCACCTGGCTGCATTACAATGGGTGAGATCATCTCCTTTTTACAGAGGAGGATCAGAGAGGTTAAGTGACTGGTCTAAGGTCACAGAGTGAGTTAGCAGAAAAGTCAGTGCTGTCTGACCCCCACCCAGAGCTCTGTGTGTCTCCAGAGAAAGAGGAAGGACAGGAGGCTCATTACCTGGAATGCTCTGTCTGCGGCATGCCAGGGCCACGTCGGCCCCTCCTACGTCCTTGCCTCCTTTGGAATAAGGCCCATCGTCTGCAGGCGAGAAAGAGAAATAAGGCCCTGAGTCCCGCTTTCATTTCCACTCAGATGAACCCCTTCTGCTCTGGGAATCTTCCAGTTCACGGACGTGGCCTGTAAGAGAGGTTCCTTCCGGCCACCCACTCCCTGAGTCTTTTCTGGGGATCCTTGTGGCTTCTCCTCCCAAAGGAGGCTCTGTCCCTGCTCTTGGAGGGGACAGAACATTCTTTTGAGCACCCCCCACATGCTGGGAGCTTTGTAGACACTCTGTGGCTAACCATTTCCACACCCCCACAGGTGGTAGTGTTACTACAGGTAATATTCTGCTGCACAGATAAGGAAGCTGAGGTTCAGAGAGGGACATCTCATGCCCCAGCTGTGTGATGTGGATCAGAACTCGGGTCTTCTGACTCCACCACCTGGGGCTGTGCTTGCATACCTGCTGGGACGGGGAGCTCTCTCACATGCAGGCACCACAGCACACATGAGACAGTGCTGACCACCAGCCAACTCAGTCTGGGGTGGACCTTAATACTGCTTCTTCTTGACGACTGCACTTTACAGTTTATAAGCCATATTCTCCGACATTCTAGGCAGCTCAAGATAAGTCTGTCTCCTTTAGCTTTAATTCTAGAAAATGCTCTCATTATTTCTTCAAGTATTATTTCCTTCATCTCCCATTTGAAATGCTTAATAGGTGCACTAGGGGACTTTCCACTGCATCCTCCATGACCCTGCACCCCGCCTCTATCCTATTTCCTATCTCTTCATCTCTCTGGGATGTGTCAAATCTGCAGCGAAATTTATCGTTTTGTTTTTTTAACTTATGATGAAATTTTTCATACATTTCAAACATAAGGAAAGTAGAATAGTATAATGCAGACGTTCTCAAAGTGTGGTCCCCCGACCAACCATATGAGCATCATCTGGGAACTTATCAGGAATGTAAATTCTTGGGCCCCAGCCAAGACCTAGGAAATTAGGAACTTTGGTGGGTGGGGTCCAGCAATCTGTATGCGTATGTGTGTTTTAGTGTATTAACCTAACATTTTTCTCCATTTTTAAAAATCTACATACATTAAAATTAATTCTTTGTAGTGTGCATTTCTATGGGTTTGAGGAAATGTGTCCTAACCACCACCACGATCAAGTGTTAGAACATTTCCATCGCCCCCCAAATTCTCCCCCACTCTCCCTTTCTGACCAGTCCCTCCCCCACTTAGCCCCCGACAAGCACGGATCTGCTTTCTCTCTATGTAATTCTGCCTTCCTTAGAACGTTACAGAAATGCAATCAGACACATGTAGGCTTTTGAGTCGCGTTTCCTTCATTTAGCGTAATCTTTTGAGGTTCCACGCTGTTGCGAGCATCAGTGGTTTGGTACCTTTCATTGCCACGTGCTGCTCTGTGTACGGATGGAGCAGTTTGTCTAGCCGTTCATTCACCTGTTGAAAGACACCTCTGTTGTTTCCAGTTTGGGGTGATCTTAAATAAAGCTGTAATCAATGTCTGCATACAGGTTCTGTTTGAACCTAAGTCTCCACTCCACTTGGGTGAATGCCCAGGAACGGGATGCTGGATCACATGGTAAAGATGAGGTCCACTTTGAAAAACAGTTTGGCAGTTTCTTACAAAGTGGCTGCACGATTTTGCACGCCCACCAACAACATAAGAGGTTCCAGTGGCTTCACATTTTCACCAGCACGTGGCAATGTCAGTTAGGATTTTTTTTAAATTTTAGTCATTCTAATAGATTTGTAGAGGTATCTTATCATGGTTTTAATTTGCATTTGCCTGATGACTAATGATGCTGAACACTTTTTCTTATTTGCCATCCATATATATCCTCTTTGGTGAAGTGTCTGTCCAAAGCTTTTGCCCATTTTGAAACTGGGTTGTTTGCTTTCTTGTCATTGAATTTTTATATATTCTGGATATAAGTCTTTAGTCAGATGTAAGAACTTATGTTTTGGAAAGCCCATTAGGTGAGTGTCTGGGTCACACTGAGGTTTGAGAGCCACTGGTCTTATGAATCATATTTACCCAACACCTATTTTTAACAAAGATTAACACTTTGTCATATTTATTCCATGTATTTTTATCTATGCTAAAATATTTGAAAACAAACCCTGGACACAATGAAATTACAATTCTAAATATTTCAGTATGCATTTCTAAAAAAATAGGAACATACTTCTTACATAGCAAAAGTACCATTATCACACCTTACAAGTTCAAATAATGCCTTAATTATTAATTTAATACCCACTCCATACACAAATGTTCCCAATTCCAATGAGTTTTTAATTTCCACAAGTACATTTTTGGTTTTTGAAAGCTCTGTTTGGTTCTTTTGCTTAGCTCCCTGTTCTGCTTTTATATTTTGTTCTTTCCTTTTCTATTGTTCCTCATATGTCTCTAATAATTTAAAATCATTTCAACATTCACCTATTATGCTATTTTTCAATTATCCTAAACTCTTGAGACGTGTTTCTGCTGTCTGACAACTCTCCCTCATGGTGAACTGCCTCCTCGTGTGTTTAGTAATCACTGGATTGTGAGCTCATCTTTAGCGGGGCTTTATCTGTGGGAATCTTGTTCAGCCTGGTTGAGGGCAGGTCTCTCCAGGGTCCACAGAGAATTTGCAATTCCTTCCCCTGGGTGTCTGCCAAGGCATCATTACCCTGATACCAATGTTTACATTAAGTTCTTGGCTCAAGGATTCTAGAACCATGGGGGCAGTGTGAATTATAACCTTCAACAGAAACACCTTGGATCATGTATTCTTAAAGGAGACCACCTGAGGCCTAGCTGACACAGACAAGCTTTTGTTTTATCTCCTTGGTAGATGGGTGGATATTTTCCAAGTCCCCCTTCACTGAGGGAATATCTTTTTCAAGGTACTGGCTTTACGTTGGGGTGTCAGTTCCCACGAAGGAAGGTGAAGGGCATCTCTCCTGTACCCCTCAGCTACTGACACTCAAGTCCTTAGTTATCAGACCAGCAAACACCCCCATTCCTGCTGCCACCCCAATAAAGAAGCCTCAGCATCAGCTTGTACGTATCCTGCTGGTTTTCAGTTTCCATTTTTTGATTGGAAATGCACTGAATTTATAGATCAATTTGTGGATAGTTGACATTTTTACAATATTGAGTCTTCCAACTGATGAACACAGTCTATTCCTCCATTTATTTTTGTCTTCTTTAATTTCTGCCCAGAATATTGTGTACTTCCAGGGGCAAAGGTCTTGTACCTCTTTCAATAAATGTATTCCTGGATATTTGAAGTGTTTTAATGCTATTGAAAATTGGATTGTTTTTCAAATTTAATTTCCTAATTGTTTGTTGCTGGTATATAGTAAGACAGTTGATTTTATATTCTGACCTTTAAAATCCACATATTAATTCTAACAGTTTACCTGTAGATTCTTTTGGATTTTCTGTCATCTATGAGTAATGACAGTTTTATCGCTTACTTTCTTTTTGTGTGTGTGTGAGGAAGATCAGCCCTGAGCTAACATCCGATGCCAATCCTCCTCTTTTTGCTGAGGAAGACTGGCCCTGGGCTAACATCCGTGCCCATCTTTACTTTATATGGGACACCGCCACAGCATGGCTTGACAAGCGGTGCGTCGGTGCGCGCCCGGGATCCGAACCTGCGAACCCCGGGCTGCTGAAGCGGAGTGCGTACACTTAACCGCTGCGCCACTGGGCCGGCCCCTATTGCTTACTTTCTAAACTTCATACTTTTTATTTCTTTTATTTGCCTTATTGCACTGGCCAGACCTCCAGTACAAAGTGGATAGACATGGCTATACAGACATCTTATCTCCTTTCCAGCTCACCCTCTTCATTTCCTGTGAGTTCATCTGTGCATCTCAAAAGAGCCTGAAGCCAGAAGGTTCAGGTTACCGGCTCTGTGATCACGGAGAGGCCCTGCCCCCACAGCATCCCCTTGTCTTCGGCACTGTGCATGTTCTGGATTCTCTCCTACGTCCTGGCAGGAAAGGGGAAGGGGACTCACACGTTGTGCACCAACCACCCACACTACCTCCTTCCATCTCATTTACTTCTGGCCGTGACCCTGGGAAGAGGTAGGTGCTACCATCATGCCCACTTGACAGATGAGAAAACAGACTCCGAGCGGTGAAGTCCTTGGCCAAGGCAGCCTCTGCAAAGAGCCAGGACCAGACCCCTGTGCCCACCCAACTCCACGCTCCAGGCTCCCTTGACCTCGTTATTCTTTTCACATTCCTACTCTAAGTCCTTTCTTAGCACCAGACTGAGATGGGCAGGGGCAACTGACCCAGCAAACTGGCAGGCTCTCCTGTGCTGCCTCAGGGGACCCCCTCCCAGGCACCAGGTGTACCCCATGGGCTCCTGCTGCTTCCTCAGGCCTCACCGGAGCCTGCACAAGCCCCTACCTGCCCTTGAGGAAGAGCCTCCTGCGGCCCCCACCCTGTGGCTCCAGCTCGGCCCCGCATCAAGAGCACGGGCTCAGGGCTCAGCAGGCCCATGCACAGATCCGGCTCAGCCCCCACCAGCAGTGGGAGGTCACTCCTCTCCCAAGCCCCCTGGCCACAGCAAGACCTGAGTTAGCACAGGACCAGGCATGAGAAAGTGGGGCTGCAGAGGAATCAGCCCCCGCAGGGGGCAGAAGCCACCTGTCCATCCAGCCAGGTCCTTTTCATGAGGGGAGGATCAGATTCGCATTCAGCCAGGGGTGGGGTCAGCCTGGGTCAAGATCAGGACTCAGCCTGTCCAAGGTCGGGGCTCAGCTTGAGGTCAGGGTCAAGAACAGGAACAAGGTTCAATCTATAGCAGTTTCTCAACCTCGGTGCTATTGACATTTTTTGCTGGATAATTCCATGTGGTGGGGGGCTCTCTTCTGCATTGTAGGATGTTTAGCAGGCACTCCGGCCCTCTCACCACTAGATGCCAGTAGCACCCCACCCCAGTCATGACAAACAAAAATGACTCTAGATATTGCCAAATGTCCCCTACAGGAGCAACAT